TGTGCCAAAAACAAAGTAGGAAAAGTCAGTCAAACTCTCAGCCACTCAGGACAGCCCCTCAGAGCTGCCCCTTTGGGCACCTTTACATGGCACCCTTACCTGCCTCATGCTGTGTGCTGCTAACACAGGAGCTGCTCCCTCAGTGCAATTTCCCAGCCCCAAAACTTGCAGTTCCTCCTGTCCCCCACCATAATCGTGTGCCTGAACACAGACGTGCTGTCAGAGCTGAGGAGGTATTTTTAAGAACCCAAAAACAACTAAGCACAATCATGCCAGGAAAACATTCCCCACTACCCCTCCCCACTCAAAGCCATCACACTGCACAGCAAGGACATGAATCAGGGTATCAGTGTGGAACAGACCCCTAAAGGAGAGGAGGGAACAGCTCCCCATGGCAAAAAGCAGCTCCTTGGTCCAGCTTCCCACAAGGCTTGGGACAGGCTCTGAGCCTGGACCCACCTCAGCCCCCAGGAAAGCAAAGATGACCCCCAGCACCCCTTCTTCAGCTGGAGATCATCTAATGACAGGGGCAAAAACATTCCCAGGAAGCTGGAATTTTTACATAATTTAATTCTTACATAATCGAATTCATTGTTAATTAACACCAGCTTCCAGCTCAGGTACTGAGAGAAAAAAGGCAGCAGAACCCTAAAGCTGCCACCCTGCAGGCCCAGCACAGCCAAACTCCTCTCCTCCCCCTCTGCCACGCTGAGCTTCTCTGGCCTCCACCCCAAGCCCCTCTCCTGGAGCCCACTGAGGATGCAGGGGCTTCACCCTCAGGTTTTTGGGGCTGTCAGCTCTGCTGCCTCCAGGGCTGAAGGTGCCCCAGGAGCAGAATGCAGGATCCAAACCCTGGCACAAATTTCCCCCTCTATTCCCACACCCTGAACATCTTCTTTTCCATAACCAGGCAGTGATCTCCTGAGTTCATCAAAGCCCCTCTGTGGGGACCCTGTGGGGCTGTGGGGGCCACAGAGAATGGGAAAGGTCACAGAGGGAACAGAACTTCCTGAAGCCAGGGAATGGATCCATCTCAGAACAGTCCTGGGCCAACAGTGAAAGCCACTGAATCAGTCCCCAAATCCCTGCCTAGAGGAGAAATTTCTCTCAAAAGCCACCTCTGGATGGGACTTGAGATTTTTAATGACTTTCAATTGGAATTTTTAATGATTTTTTAAATTAATTAGCTACTGTTGCAGGTCACCTCTGTGGCGATAGAACTGGCCTTCTCGGGCAGTTCTGCTGTCCTGCATTGCACCCACACTGAGAGCAGCTCCAAGAGTGTCCTTGAGAAATTCCCCCACCCCCATTAACTCTGCCATGGGATCCCTGCCCTCCCAGAATCCATGCAGGCCCCAGGTCCCAGCCCAGTGCTCTCCCAGCCTGGCTCCCTGCTAAGCAGCCCTGGCAGCCAACAGCAGCCTGGGAAGGGCCATCATGTTCCAGAGAGTTCCAGCCCACCCTGGAGCCCCCCTGGCTCATTCACAGCGGGCAGGGCCGCTCTCCAGCCCAGTGACAGCACAACAACACAACAATGACGTTGTCATCCACTTTGCAAAAGCTGCAGGAATCCAAAATCGGCTGTCCAGACCTTTCAGATTACAAACAGCTCACTAAAAGAAGAGCTAATTAGTATAACTTGCCTTTCCCTTCCATTTCTCCTCCATCCCAGAGCAGAGCCTCTGTGCCCTTCCAGACAACACACAGAGCTGGGCACAAGCACCTCAAGGCTGGCACCACAAAATAACACAAAGAACAACAGCCCAGAACCTCAGCAAGCACCATGAGCTCCTCCTGTGCTCTCTCACAGGCACCTGCACCCAGTTCTGCAGACAAATCCTCATATCCCTGCCATGCCCCGGGCTCTCATCCCTCAAGGAGCAGTCCTGCTCCAAGCCTGTCACCTGGAGTTTCTTGTTCATCCATCACTGCCCCTGCTAGACAGAAAAAAGTTGCTGCAAATAAATCAGCTGCTCCCCTGGGCTGGGCTGGGCTTGGCTGGGGTGCTCACTCACACTGCCAGCCCCTGTCCCAGCACAGCAGCACAGAGACACTCTGATCCCCTGGCCTGTCACACCTGGGGCCTCCCAGCCCAGGGACAACCATGCAGGTGATTGATTCAATAACAGCAGGCAGCAGTGCCACAGCCCCTCCTGCAGCACAGGGCTCAGGCTGGGGGAGCCTCCAGGGACACAACACACAGGGACAAACCAGGACACACTCTGTGCCACAGCTGGGGCAGAGCAGGGGGCAGGGGCTGAAGAGCTCCTGCAAGCAGCACCTTGGCCCAAAAGCACCTCGAGTGAGATGATCTCCTGCCAGGCTCCACTTCTGCGCACAAGTCTGAGCTCACCAGCTCTCAAGCCCAGCAGACTTACTCATCCCAGCTCACTCATGTTGCCTTATCTGGAGGCGTAGTTTAAAAATGCAGGAATATTATTTAAAACCGTAACTGCACACCTGCTGATTTCTGTTAGGTCCTATGAGAATGCGTGGGACCACTATATTTAGAATTTAATAACTCCAGTCAGTGCAAGCTCTCGACTGAGTACCTGCCTACGTCTGTTCCCTGTGGTCCCAGGGGATTATGCAGCCTTGGTAAGCGTGGTGGGAGCCTGGCTGCCCTGAGCAAGACCAGGGCAGGGCTGTTAGACATCACCCTGCTGAACCTGGCTGCAGGACCTCTGACACCTCCATGTGTGGGGAAACGTGGCAGTTGAGGATCTTATCTCCATGGTTCACTTGCCCACAACAGAGTGAAGGAATGAAGTAAAAGCAGAAAGCTGATCAGCAGAGGTGGAAGAATCGCCATCTAGAGCAAGGGCAGGGTCAGACATTGCAGCAGCTGCATTGTGTTGGCTTTTGGATCTCAGCCATGGAGATTTCCTGGGGCTTCTCAAGGTACAGACATTGGGGGGGCAGCGAGGAACAGGCAGAAGCTCAAGCAGCTGGGGTGACAAGTGACACTGATTTCAAAGCATTCCACACTTCAATCAACACTTAGTTTTACTTTCATAATCAGCCGCGGCAATCAAGGGAACGGGCTCAGTATCCACAGGTGCACTCGAGCCCTGTCACTGTGGGGGTCAGGGACACCAGGAAATCTGTCCCCAAACCCACACCCAGCCCAGAGGAGCTGCCCTGGAGCAGCTGCATGGCCCAGGGGGCAAAGCAGGCAGAGCACAGCTCCATGCAACTCGAGCTTGGCCACAGCAGAGCAGCCAGGCACACGCAGGGTCTGTGCTTGGGGGAAGGGGCCCACCAGCCCCACACGGCACTAAGCCCTGAGGGGCAGTGGCCTTGGTGGCCACAAATGATGCACAGTGAGCCACAGTCCTGCATGAGGGGACAACTCAGACATAGAATGGTTTGGGCTGAAAGGACGATAAAGCTCATCCTGTTCCATTCCCCGCCATGGGCAAGGATGCCTTCCACCAGAGCAGGCTGCTCAGAGTCCCACATCCATAGCCAGCATCCCCAGGAAAATTTGGTGTGTGAGCTCCACACCATCAGTGCCACTTCTGTGTGGCTCACGTCCCAGAGCTAGGAAGGCACCATGACATCTCCCATTGCAGAGGAAACCACCCAAGTCACCCCAAACCCCAAGGTTCAGGGCAGCAGCACCCTGTGCATGGGGGCGGCACCTCCTCCTCCCCCTTGGGCTGGGCATTGGCACACGCTTGGCTACACACAGCAAACCCCAGGCACGCCCTGTGCTCAGCAGCACCTGGACAACAGACCTTCCTCACACCCAGCTCCACAGCAGGACAGCAAAAACCCGAGGGCAGAAACCAGGGTTTCCATCCACAACGCCACAAAGGAGCAGAACAAAGCTGCTGGCTCTGCCAAGAATGTTTCCTGAGAAACGTGAGTGGGGAAGACTCCTCTCCAGCCACCGAGGGCAGAGGGGAGGCAGCAGCGGCCGTGCTCATCTCACTGTCTCAGCAGCAGCACAGGCAGCAGCAGGGGCTCCAACTTCATTTGAATCTGTAGATATTTAATTACCTTTACAGAGCACAAAGTGCTCAGCAGCCAGAGAGGAAGGTAAGTGAACACCTTGGTGTTATTTTGTGCCCTGTGTGTCCCCTACACAGATCCACACCCCACAGCAGCAGGGAGGCACCGACTGCAGGTCAGCAGGAGATTTGGGGACACACTGCTCAGACTGAGCCCACACAAATGGGGAAGAGCCCAGAGCAGCACTGAATGCTAGCTCTGTCCTACATGCTGCACGAAACATCCAAGGAGAAGCCACCCAGGCACAGAGCAATTTTCTTAATTGCAGTAACTGTGTTTACATGCAAAATAAGGATGTGTGCAACCCCCCCAACACAACTCTGAGCACTCACATGCTCCTAGAGAATTTCCAGTCAGCCCAAAGGCCATCTTCCCCATCCTCACTATGATCCCCTCATCAATCCATACCCCAAACAAGCTGCCAATGAGCCATGTGTCTGTCTGCCCAGAAGAGCTCCCCTCTCCACTGCCCAGACCCTTCCAACATGACAAGAGACTGCATCAGCACCTCATACACACAGATTCCACTTCACCTGAGAAGCCACTTCTTGCTGCCCCTGCAGAGAGACCTCTGCATGGGGCAGGTGGAGGGGAGGGCAATTTCAGTGCAATGACCTTGCCCCTCTGATGAGGGGACAGTGCAGTGGCACAGCAGAGAGCACCAGGCAGAGGAAGGCAGGCACAGGTGCATGTGGTCACCCATGAGACACCCGAGATGTGCCACCAACACCTGGGACATGCCCTGGGCAGGGAGACAGACGCCAGCTCACAGAGCCTGCCAGAGACATCTCACAGTGAAGATCTGTGTGGGAGCCCCGGACAGGAACGGGGCGATGCTCCCAGGGCCCTTGGCTTGCTCCCAGCCCCCTCCCAGCCCCAGGAGAGCTAAACAGAAAGCAAAGCACCGAGGATCACACATTCCATCCCGCAGCCCCCGGCACACACGGAGGCACCAGGACAGCCGGGTCACTGCCAGCCCGTACCTGCACTCGGTGACACTACAGCAGCAGCTCCCGCTCCGCCGGCCCCAGCGCCTGGAGCGCAGCTCCGGCCGCGACTTCCTCAGGCTGAAATACTCCGTCAGCTTCCCAAACGAAGCCATGGCTGCCGCCGGTGTCCCTGCGTCCCTCCGCACGCTCGTGCATGCTACACCCCAGCTGTGCCCGCTGCCCCGAGCGCTGCTCCAGCCCTCAGCCCCAGGAGGGAGCGCGGCCACAGGGACCCAGCGCAGGCCAGGAGGAGCTCAGCCACCACCAACTTGGACAGTCCACAGCGTGCTCCAGCCAGCCCTCAGGTCTGGAGGGTGCTAAGTCCTGTCTCCCTGAGCCAAGCGCAGGTCACAGCTCAGGGCAGCTGAACGTGTATTTCATGTGACGCTGCAGAGCTGAGTGAAGGAGGAAAAATTAAAAGTGCTCGCTGGAAAGGGTCCCTCGGTAGCACTGGCACAGGTCTGCGAGCCCCCACGGCGAGCGGGTGGAGGAGCTGCCCTCTGAGCAGGTGGCCCAGCGTGGCTGTGGTGGCCCTCGGATGAGGAAGGGGATGGGGTTTGATCTCAGAGGTGATGAGAAACTCCAAGAAATCGGATGTTCAGATGAATTTCCAAAGGGTCTTACAGCATGGAGAAGATCCCCGCTTGGTCTTCCCAAGGCTATTCAGAGTCCACCAGTTTTCCTCCCTCCCTGTTTTCCAGAGCAGATGGCACCCTCAGCTGCCAGCAGCACCTACCTACCATGACTTTCCAGCCTGTCACCAAACACCTGAGCCCGAGGAGAGGGACAGACATTTAAAGCAAGCGAGGCTGATCCAGTTAGAGGTCACCTGTGAGCTCTGCTCCCCATGCTCCAGCACAAAGCCCTTCCGCAGCAGACAGCAGACACGGGGACGCTGCGAACCCGAAGGGAAATCCTCCTGCCAGCCCTCCCCTAGTCAGGAGCACTTGTCTCTGCATCCTCGGCGCCTGACGCCAGCTGGGCGGAGAAAAAACAAGGGCTTCAGAAAAAACCACCCAAACCTTGCTCCAGCCCCACGGAGCAAAGCCAGATCAAGTCAGTGAAGCACATCCAGGGGAAGGGGTGTCTGACGGCAACTCCAGCAATGCCAAGAGAGGAAACAGCAAGGAAAACTGGTGGTAACTCAGCTGGCAGAGCCCCAGGCTCCCTGAACACCCTTTTATCCCTCTGGTGTGGATGCCATGTTAAAAAATAAACAACCTGCATTCATTGCTATTTCCCTGCTTAGAGCCATGCCCTGCAAGCAGCCCCTCGCCACCAGGGACGGCCATCCGCTGCCGAAAGCCCTTCCTGACTTCCACTTCCCTCCTCCCTTATTATCTTTCTTTTCCTGTAGACTGTGGCTCAGCTTTCCCCTCGGAATTGAACGCCTGAGCAGCCGGGCGCGCCCCGCGGAGCACGGCCCAGGGACACCGGGCAGCCGCCCCCGCCGGCTGCGTGTGACCGGCACAGTCACCGTCCCCGTCACCGTCCCCGCCCGCGCTTTTGGGGGGGTCATTGGTTCGCACCATCCCCACTCGCTGCTCCCCGTTCCGGGCGCTCACAGGCATGCCGCTAACGGAGCCAGCGCCGCAGACCTGCCCACAAAGCAGGGGGCTGGCGATGCTCGGGGGGCCCCGCGGCCATGGGGGACCCTTCCAGCACCTCCCCGGGCACACACGGGGAGGGAGAGCGGGGCTGCTCCCCTCTCGCAGCCGGGGAAACGCAGCTGGTCCCGCACCGCTCCGCACAGCCACCCTCCCCCGGCTCCCACCTTGTCCCTCCGATGGGCTCCGCCGCAGCCGGGAGGGCTCCAGGGCGCTTCCCCGAACCGCCGGGCTTGTGCCGAGGGCAGAGCATCCGCCGGCTGGCTCCGGGCGGCGCAGCGACAGCCCGGAACACTGTCACCCCTCTTATCTGCCATCGGCTCCCCGTTACCCAGCACGGTGAAATGCAACACGTCAAAGGAGGTCAGAGCAGAGCGGAGGAGCCGGGCAGAGCAGAGGGGGCCGGCAGGAGGCAGCGGGAAGCAGCCGAGGGGGGCGATCAGAGAAGGGGAGGCAGAAAAGGACAAACTCTTGTTCCCCCGCTATGGGAACAGGCACGGCAGCGGCTCTGCCGCAGGAAACTGCGCCGGGCACACACACCTCGGAGCGTGGCAGGACAGCGGGGTCACCTGGCAGCGGGGATGTGACCTGCTCCTGGCTGTGCCAAGGCAACAGGAGAGGGGCTGGACAGGGCAGCAGGAAGAGGGGAGAGGAAGAGCGGCGTTAATTTGAATCCCTCACTTCCCCCCTTCCTCCACCACCTGGGAGGGCAGAGGAGCAGCCACGCTCCCCCAGGGATCCTCCTTTGGCATTTGCAAAGAAAAACAGTTTGGGGACAAAAGGGCAATTTGGAAGACTGCAGGCACAAAATCCGAGGAGCAAGGCAGACTTCCCCAGCACTCCGGGGGACACCCTAGAGCCAGGGACAGCACACATTGCTGCAGCACCCTGCGGTGGGGTCAGCAGGAACCACAGCTCTTGGTGGGGAGTCAGGCTCCCCACAAGGCTGCACAGCTCAGTCCGTGAGCCCAACAGTGCCAGGCTTGGAAAACAACCAAATGCCACCTTCATGAAACCTCTGGATAAGCTGGGGACGGTGGCTTTGAAGGCACCGACGCCTGAAAGCTCAGACAACTCCACAAACGCTTCCATCTGTGGCCAAAAAGGGGATTCCAGCCCCACATCCCCCCCAGTGACCCTGGAGCAGGCTGACTGGGACCCATTGGAAAGCACAGCCAGTGCTGGCGCAGAGGCAGCACAGCTCCCACACCATTCCTCTGAGTTACAGCCTCTGCTTTGTGCTGCTGCCTTGAGGCAAGGGAAGGGCTGTCTCCTTTGCCCCAAGGACATGGAACAGCCCTCAGGCCCTTCCTCGCTCCAAGAAGAGTGCCCAGCCCTTCAAACAGGGCTGTCACACCAGCTGCCTCCCAGAGGAGCTCGGTGCCTCCTATCAGGCAGCAGAGGCGATCTGCCAAGATAGTGCTGAACTCTCTAATTTCACATTAACAATCTGCTGTGCTGGGGTTTGCAGCCATGCACTCAGCGATGCAACAGCTTCCCACTTCCACTTATCAGTGGAATGAAACACTTCATAAGCGAAACAGTGGTTTAATTTGCAGAGACATAAACTGATTTTTAAGAGGAGCTGTGGAGGAGATGTTAGAGCAGGAATCAGGACCCGCACAGCGCTGGGACTTGGGGGATGCTGAGCACGGCTGCACAGGCATCACACAGCCCTGGGACAGGCATCACACAGCCCTGGCACAGCCATCACACAGCCCTGGGAGAGGCATCACACAGCCCTGGCACAGGCATCTCACACCTCTGGCTGCAGCATCTGGGAGGAGAAAATACCCACAAGTCAAACACAGCCTGGCTGTCTGGGTCATCTCACACATCCCTGTACATACACTGCTTTAGGCCCTAGAGACCAACACTGCGCGTTTCAGAGCCCTCCAAACACAATGAAACCATCACAGATATGGGAACCAGCACTGGTCCCAGCTTGCAACAACCACAATGCTTTTTCAGGCAGAAATCATCAGAGCTATATCCCAGCAGCTCAGACATCCTAAGTGTGAAGTGGGAAGCTTCTCTGCCAGGTCCTGTGCCCAGCCAGCACACTGGGACAAGCCAGACAGCCCTGGAGGGTGGCCCTTGCACCATCCTTGCAGTCCCCAGTCCCTGTGCTCCCAAGCCCATTGTGAGCAAACCAGATCTGGTTACATCTGTGGCTTCCCCAAGCAGCTTTTGCTCCAATTACACTTCTTAAATATGGATAGGCAGAAGCAGGGAAAGAGGAAAAGGGAGTTCTATTGAGCTGACAGCTCGTCCATGCACTCCTACAGTCCAAGAGGGCCCTAACTGCATTTCTCCAGGGCTCACTCCACACCAGTTAAACACATCCACTTTGCAGCCCTGGCTCTCCCAGGGAGCTGCAAATCCCTAAAAGGCACTGAGCAGCTGATGCAGAGCCCATCCTGCTCCTCCTTCAGCCATGCTTCCCACAGCCTATCCCTCCCCCAGGACAGCACGGGGAATGCTCACCAGAACCCGACTCCCAGTGTGTGGAGGAAGCAACTAAAACAAGTTTAAGCCATGGTGGGAGCAGCCACCCCATCTCTACAAGCAAAACCTTGGCTGGTTTAAGGCTCCCTTCCCCTCTGTCCCTTTCCCAGGCTGGCTGATACCTGGAGAGCAGAACTCCAGCAATGCAGAGAACGGAGCCCAGCAGATGCACAAGTGCAGTCCTAGTCTGGAGGGTGACACTGAGCAGAGATAACAGCAGAACAGTCTAGAAAAGCTGCCAGGTGGGCCAAAGGAGGAGCTGGAGCCTGAGCAGCCCATCAGGAACAGATTCAGAACAGGAGGCACTGCTGCTTGCTCATGCCACGATGTCTTGTGGCAAAGGGCTTCACCATGGGAGTCCTGTTTCCATCAGTTGTCATCAGAGTCCCTCTCCTCACAAGGGAAAAATACCTGCTGAGATCCCCAAAACTGGGTGAGAGGAAGCTTCCTAATTCCCCAAGAACATCTGTGTCCTCAGGTCAGGTGGAAGAGGATTTCTTATCATCCTTCTCTTAGTGCCAGCTGGGGAGGGACTGGCCCCTCCAAGTTACCTCAGAAATCATCTGAAAGCACCATGGGGACCTCAAAGGACTTTGGGACAGGAATTTTCCACACTGCTGAAAACTGGCCACTCATGTCACACATCAGCTCCCAGTCAAATATTTCAGCCAATTCAGAAGAATTTTGATAAACTTTTTTTTTTTTTTTTTTAATTCTGAGCACTAATTCTTGGGGTTTAGGAAATAAACTTCTTCCACCCTATTTTAAGTATACCTGCAGTGACTGAGGCCAAATTTTTCACTGCTGGTTAACCCAGCATACCAGACAATCATCAAACATTTTGGGATAGCTACAAAAATAAAATTGGAATACATTATTTCACAGAGTGCTCAAAACCAATTATCAACATGTCAATGTGAAGAAATATGTTAAATACAAGTATGAACTGATTTAAGAAACAGATGCAGAAGAGACATTGGAACAAACCTAGAGGAGGCCATGGAGATGCTCCAAGGATGAGCCCCTCTGCTCTGGAGCCAGGCTGGCAGAGCTGGGGGTGCTCACCTGGAGAGGAGAAGCTCCAGGGACACCTCAGAGCCCCTGCCAGGGCCTGAAGGGGCTCCAGGAGAGCTGCAGAGGGATTTTGGAGTGACAGAACAAGAGGGAATAGCTTCCCATTGACCAAGGGCTAGATTAGATGGGATATTGGAAAAGAATTCCTCTCTGTGAGGGTACATGAGTGGACTTGGCAGTGCTGAGGTAAAAGGTGGACTCAGTGATCTTGGAGGACTTTTCCAATCTAAATGATTCCATCCAGAGTTCATCAAAGCATTTCATTATGATTCTAAATGTGCCTGTGCTCTGTGCAAACACGAGCCCACAGTGGCACAATACACTGCAGGTCCTCTCTGGTGCCCAGCACCCTGCAGAAACACCTCTGGAGCTCCTGGAGCTGACTGCTGGGAACAGCACACTTGCTGTCAGAGCTGTGGGGCCCTCTGGGAAGTGCTACATCTCAACACAGCTGTAATAAAGTGCAGAGTGTGCAAGAGGCTCAATAATTTCAGTCTAAGCAGGCACTTTGCTGTAATTGCCAGCTCTATTGCATTACTCACACACTTCCGTGCCGGCACCTACCACGAGCCAGCCACATCAATTTACTGATTTACCCAATGTATCACTTAGCACAACCACTCTAATTCCAGCAGCAAACCCAGATGTGCTGCCCAAATTAAGGTAAAATACCCTCACTCTCAAATTAAATTAAAATATCCTCTTTCTTGGAAATAACATAGAATCACATAGGGAGAGCATTGCACTACAAGGATGGGGAAAG